GGTGGCAAAATTTGCAGATGATACAAAACTACTCAAGACAGGTAAGTCCCAAGCAGACTGCGAAGGGCTACAAAAGGATCTCACAAAACTGGGTGATTGGACAACAAAACGGCAGATGAATTTCAATGTTGAGAAATGCAAAGTAATGCACATTGGAAAACATAATCCCAACTATACATATAAAATGATGGGGTCTAAATTAGCAGTTACTACTCAAGAAAGAGCTTGGAGTCATTGTGGATAGTTCTCTGAAAACATCCACTCAATGTGCAGTGGAAGTCAAAAAAGCTAACAATGTTAGGAATCATTAAGAAAGGGATAGATAAAAGACAGAAAATATCATATTGCCTCTATATAAATCCATGGTACGCCCACATCTTGAATACTGCATGCAGATGTGGTCGCCCCAGCTCAAAAAAGATATACTGGAATTGGAAAAGGTTCAGAAAAGAGCAACAAAAATGATTAGGAGTATGGAACGGCTGACATATGAGTAGAGATTAATAAGACTGGGATTTTTCAGCTTGGAAAAGCGATGACAAGGGGGGACATGATAGATGTCTATAAAGTCATGACTGGTGTGGAGAAAGTAAATAAGGAAATGTTATTTACTCCTCATTACACAAGAACTAGGGGTGATCAAATGAAATTAATAGGCAGCAGGTTTAAAAACAAACAAAAGGAAGTATTTTTTCACACAACACAGTCAACCTGTGAAACTCCTTACCAGAGGACGTTGTGAAGGCCAAGACTATAACAGGATTCAAAAAAGAACTAGATAAGTTCATGGAGGATAGGTCCATCAATGGCTATTAGCTAGGATGGGCAAGTATGGTGTCCCTAGCCTCTGTTTGCCAGAAGCTGGAAATGGGCGAGAGGGGATGGATCACTTGATGATTACCTCTTCTGTTCATTCCCTCTGGAGCACCTGGCATTGGCCATTGTTGGAAGACAGGCTACTGCACTAGATGGACCTTTGGTCTGACCCAATATTGCCGTTCTTATGATACCAGAGGAAGAGTCTTTTGCCTCCATGGTACCAAGTCAAAAAGTCAAGGACTCTGACACCATAGACCTCGCAGAAGATTAGGACTTCTTGGGAGCTGGCTCCTTGTGGTGGGAGACCAAACTCCTCTTTGGAGCCTTCCCTGCACCCTCAGAGATCTTCCCCTTCTTAGGCAAGACCTTAGTTGACATCGAAGGGGCACATGATCTGTCCGAAACAGATGTATTTTGGGGATTGGGGGACGGACTCTGAAATAGATTGAAGGGCGTGCTCCATTATCAGCAGCTTCAGGTTGGTCTCCTGATTCTTCTGACCTCTAGATTTTAGAGCCAGGCAAAAGTTACACTTTTGGGCGATATGGCACTCTCCCAAGCAACAGATACATTTAGATTGGCCATCGCTAATTGGGATAGCCTCCCAACAAGAGAGGCAGCATTTGAAACCTGGCGAGTTAGGCATGCCCAACCAGGCCAAATAAGCTCCCCAGAAAAAAGTTGGGGGAGACAAAGGTGAAGAGGAAAAACTGAAACCTCTCAACTATCCATCCAATTCTATACTAACAACAACTAACAAACACTAAACAACTACAAAACATTCTGAGGCACACACAAGGTGGACAAACTAGCGCTCCGTCTCAGGCTGAGGCAGTAGAGAAGGAACTCGGGCAGTTCGCTCATACAGCACTATATACCCTTGGAGCATGGCATAAAGTTGTACAGAGTGCATGTGTGGGACAAACAGATGGTGCTAATAGAAAATCTCTTATCAAGGGCTCGAGACACATATGTACCTGAAGTGGAGCACACACGGACATTACTCAAAGAAGAAACTGTACTATTTGTTGAACTTCTACATGACTTATTGTTTTTCCCCTACACCTTTGCTGTGAAATTTACTAAAAATGTCTACGCCAAAAATCATATAGCCTTAACTAAATTAATATTTCAGTAAATCATTAAGTTTTAAATGCAATATATATTTTGATAAGCCTTTTTTTTCTCTTATGTATCCAGCCACTTAAGGTAGTTTCATTCAACTAATAAATAAAATCTTAAAATACTGTTTTTGTATATTATTTGAATTTCAGTTTCCATCCACATGCAGCTTGACAAAAATTCAGAGTAAAGAAAACAAAAACCATCCTGTAAATAAGTGTGTCATTCACCATTTTCTATCATAATTAAAAAGTAAAAATTAAGAATCTCAATAAATGTATGCTAAAGTCTAAGTGGTTAAATAAATGTGTATAGATAGTATACCCTCCTCCGGATCAGGAAAAGGTACAAAATTGAGTGTAAAGTCTGCATTTGGTGGCAAATTGACATGTTTTAATGGTTATAAAAATCAGTGAGAAAAAACTTTTCTTTAGGAAAAAAAAGTATGAATGGAACACAAGACTAAAATTAATTATTTATAGAACAATTAAGATCTATCTATCCTGATGGAAACTATAATAAATTTGCTGGGCTAAATTTAATGGAGCCCAGACTTAAATAGGCAAACACGGGGACTTTCTGTTGAGAGGCCAAGGCTCAAAGGCTATGTCTACACAGCAGTTAAGCCTAGGGTTAGTGGGACTCGGATTTTAAAGCTAGGTCAGGGATTCTCAAAATTTCATTGCACCTTTCTGATAACAAAAATTCTACATGACTCCAGGAGGGGGTCCGAAGCCTGAGCCCACCCAAGCCCCACGGCCCAGGATGAGGGGCCAAAGCAAAACCCTGAGCCCCACCGCTCCATGTGGGGGGGCCAAAACTGAAGCCTAAGGGCTTCAGCCCCAGGCAGGGGACCTGTAACCTAAGCCTCACCACCCAGGGCTGAAGCCCTCAGGCTTCGGCCCTGGGTGGTGGGGCTCGGGCTTCAGCTTTGGCCCGGGGTCCCAGCAAGTCTAAGCCAGCCCTGGTAACCCCACTAAAACAGGGTTGTGACCTACTTTGGGGTCCCAACCCACAGTTTGAGAACCACTGACCTAGATTAAGGATTTTCTGACCCATGCTTGAACTAGGGCTCTGGCGTCCACATTGCAGTGCACAGACCTGAGTCAAAGTAACCCTGTCCTAGAGAGCCTAGCGCCTCTCACCTAATGTTGACACTCTAGCCCTACAATTGTGTTGCACTGTGGGAAAACTTAACTGCACACCCTGTTTCCTAACTGAGACAGCACTATTGATGGGACTCAAGTGCCCATAAGTAGCACAAGTACATAAATTGCACAATTAGCTCCTTTGGTGGCTGGCTCAGTAGAATGTCTGTCCTTTGAGAAGGCTTTATACTGAATTACCATCTAATCTGAGAATTGGGCTTTCCACCTCTAGATGGAGTCACATTGGCAGGAAAATGCCATGTGCATCTGTTCAGAGGATAATTAGGACACAGTCTCCAGGGCAGTCAAACTATTAAAATGAAACTTTTGGAATTCTTAATTTTTAAAATGGTATGTTCAATGAAGGTGTTTCTTTGCTTTTTTATTTATTTTTGTCTATTTGTTTTGAAGTTTTATGTCAAACACAGGTTTCAGAGGAAAAACACACTCACCCACCCAGTCTGGTTGCTGCCAGCTGTGGACTGGTGAAGTGCATTCCCAGGGAATGGCTGAAGGATCCCCAGGAGGCTGTGGGGAAGTTTAGGGGCTGACTCCCATTTGCCACTCTCACAGTACATGCGTCCGGGCACGCCTGCATATGCAGCCCCAGGGAGCGGAGTGGGGACCAAGTGGCTCCCTGGCAGGGATGGGGAGTGGCTTGGGTGTTGGGGGTCATCCCTCGCATTGCCATGCTGAGCCGGGAGCTTTGTCACTCCCACTCCCTGCAAGGCAGCTGCTTAGTCTCAACTCGACTCTCTGCCCCCATATCTCCTTGTGGCTGCATGTGCAGGGGCACCAAGACAGCGTGCACAAAAAATATGGCTGCACTCTTGAGACCAGGAAGCAGATCTCTTTGCAAAAAGCATCTTCTCATCGGTCTTCACTGAATACCCCACAGGCTCTCTGATAGTGTGCTTGTAGACTGGTGTTCAGCAGACATCGGGTTACTGCTGATCTGAGCTGTTCCATTTGCAAAGGGAGGCGTGGCTTCTGTTTGTAATACAGAGTGCAGTAGACTGCACCACAGATTGTTGGAATAGACAGGACTAAACAAAGTTGCCCCAAGGAACTTTGGGATACATCCAGAGGACTTCTGGGACCAGAGTCAAGCTGGGGCTGCGTGCGCACAGGAAAGCAATAGGGCTTGGATCCTAGGTTTGAGCTCTAGGTTAAGAATCGGTGTGTGGATGCAAGGGGGGTTAGGCTTGAGCACAGACTCACATTGCTGTGTAGACATACCATAAAACATTATTCCCAAAGGAGGTCAAGTTATAGTCCTACCCTCACCACCCTGAGGCAATGTTATAAGGCACCCTTGTTCACCACAGCATTCCCCAAAGAAAGTGTGACTTTGTGCTCAAAGACAGAAACCTATGGTTATACTTAGAGTAGGTGAAGAAACTGCTCTCACTATTTATATAATCCATATCCAGTGCTCATCTTTTACAGTAAGGGGGTAGTTTAGAAATGCACAGATACATATTTAAATTGTTAACTATACAATTACAAACTTTGTAAAAGGTTGATTATTAGTTTGCTAATGTATAATTGCATAAATATTCTGAGGATTCCACTCAGGTATATATAAGTTCAACATCAGTTAGTGTGCTTTCCATTAGTAGTTTGAGCATCTAATCTCTACAAGTTACTTTAAAAATGAGTAAAAAACACACCCACCCACCTGTGCATCAGCACAGTAGAAACCTACAGACTTTATGAGTTTCAAGCAATGAAGGAAATATATTATGTCTATGTCATTTAAAATAGCTAAATATCCATACATTCACACACACTATATATTAACTTATGTGGTTAGATAAGGTCCACCCCTGATTAGCGTACAGTTGTCTCATATCTACGAATCCAGAAGAGTATTTCCACCGTGCCAAATATTTTAATAGCACAACTCACCTGGTCTGTGTATACATCAGGAGGTACCATCTTATTAAAGAAATCAGAGCATACTGCTCCTGCTTGAAGGTAATAATGAAGGGCTGCTGAATATTGATTTGTTGCTACAGTGGGGAGGAAAAAATTAGAATAACCTCAGAAATCAAAATGTAAACATTTGTAACAATTTACAGAATTATTCACACTAATATTTAATACATACATACACACACACAAAATGGTGACAAATTTTAAAGTTCACTACAGTTTAATTCTACTTGAAGAATTACTCATCACCCAGGTATAAATGCATACATGTACATGGAGGTGGCAACACTGTAACCACTATGTGATAAGACATTCTGCTACGAGGAAGTGATTAATCAGTAAAGTTCATTAACAACTATGAAGCCTAAGGTTTTAAGCAAATTTCTCTTAATTATTTTTCATATTTTAAAACGTTTTCACTCTGATGAGTTGGGGAGGGCAAGTGGGACTTTTAAAAAATAGTTTAATTTGTACCACTATGTTGGCCCGTGGGGTTGATTTATTTGCCACATTAATAATATAATAATATATGGAGATACACCTATCTCATAGAACTGGAAGGGACCCTGAAAGGTCATTGAATCCAGCTTCCTGCTTTCACTAGCAGGACCAAGTACTGATTTTGCCCCAGATCCCTAAGTGGCCCCCTCAAGGATTGAACTTACAACCCTGGGTTTAGCAGGCCAATGCTCAAACCACTAAGCTATCCCTCCCCCCCTTTTTTTTTTGCTACCTCACCCTGAATTAGTTCTCTGCCACACACAGGGGTTTCCAACGTGCACCATTTGTAATATGAGAGCACCAACATACTGTCACAGCTGGACTGAAGACTGTCAACAGGTGCTGCTATAGATTTTTATTTCAAACGTTCAAGGCCACAGCCAAGGCTTCACAGAAGGTTAGTGGTCTCAAAGGGGATTTACAGGGTCCAGGATGGAAAGAACAGAGTCAAGAGGTAGCTCAGATACAGGGGTGACAGGAATAAGCAAATGGTGCTAGAAATCAGATTGTAGATTTTGGACTCTGGCATCTTATCCATATTAGAGAATGTTGACATTCCCAGTAACTGTGCAAGCACCTGAAATGCTTGTTCATACACTGTTGTACTCCTAATATTACACAGATGTTCCTAGTACATAAGCTAAAAAAAAAAAAAAAAAATCTTGTAAACGTCTCCCTGCACTAATTCAGTTCAAACTATTGGACAGATGCGGACAGAAATGGCAAATACTGTCAATGAACTAATATATTTGATTTTCCCACTGCAGTCCCACAGTGCTCCCATCCACTGCTCTCTCAGCTTAGAACACTGGCTCCACCACAACTCGAGGCTTATCTGAATGGTTCTGTGCTGGCACTCAACTATTTTATGGCTCTAACTGGTACTACTAGTATCAGTACCACCCCCTGTTCTTAGTAGAACCAAGAGCAACTTCCTCATCTTTGGAAAAAGAATGCAGGTCACATGCTTCTATTTTGAAGTGGGGAGCTAAGGAAGCAATGCAGAGGCAGTTAACTCTGCACACAAGCCCCTCTTGGTACACTCAGATTTGCTTGAATCTCTTAACATCCACAGATTCATGGAACTGAGAGGTGCCTTGTCATTCTGAGAGACTGTTCTCTCAAAACAATTTGAATGAAACACTGCAAGTGGAAACTCTCAGAAATTTTCTAGGACCCATGTGGGCTTTTACCCACAAAAGGATGGTATCTGACCCACAAACTATACAGGGAACATTTCATTCACCTTCAAAATGCAACAGCCATTTATAACCCAACAGGTTAGGGAGCAGGATTTATCATGTCTTGCCTATCTTGACCCTTACAATGAATTTGAGGAACAATGTCTAAGCCGCTTAACTGGTTTTCCCTTACTATTTGATTTGCCAACATGGACAGGGCTGAGCTGGGTTATTAGAATCTTATTTTTAAAAACATTCCAGTTTAGGCAGGGAGTTACCACCTCTGAGCCCTACTCTAGCAATGGCCTCATAATAACTACATTTCACTATTTTTTTGGATCACTGAATACAAATATTCACCTGATTCTACAGATTGGTATATAAATTAGAGTATTACCGTCTTAAATTTTTCCTTTAGCACTGAAGATTTGAAGTCACAATTACTTATTTCAGCTTTTAAAATAATGAAAAAGAACCCAAAGCCCCCATCCTGCAGGGTGATTCACATGACCACATCGAATCTCACTGACTTTAACATTGCATGCACTTTGAGATCTGCCCTTGCCAATCCATTTACATATTTGAGTCCAAAAACACTTCCATTTTTAAAAGCTCTATGCTGTTTAAGCTTTTACTGATAAATGATTAGTATCAGATATAACATAGCTTTTGCTCTTATGCAAAAGATACATGAGGGTAAGTAACTCTTAAGACAGAGCACAGTGCACGCAAGCGCGCACACACACACACACACACACACACACGTACGTTGGTTTCACTTACCAAAATAAATATCTGCCTGAATAATTAACCAGAAGTGGTTGTTTGAGTTTATAGTCAGTGCATAACTGACCAGCTCTTTTACGGTAACAGCTACAGCTTCAAAATCCACTGACTGAAGGCTAAAGAAAGAGGCAGTTTTGTAATATCAATCACTATACTGAAACAAAACAAGTTGATTTCAGATCTACTTTAAGAATGAAGTCATTTTGCTAAAAAAAATTAAACACCTTCTCCCAATAAGATTTACCACCATTAAGATTATTGTTACCCTATTTTATCTCCTATATTGAGACCTTTCAAATATATCAATCACAGTGATAACAAAGTTTAGAATAGTATCAATGATTACGACACCATTAGACCTTGGGAAAGAGTGGTACCCTTAAAGTAAACTGTAAGCAATGGGGTCTCACTTTCAAGAACAGAGAAAAGTTACACTTCAAACCCATGTTGGTCCAGATTCACTGCAGGATTTGCATAACACAACAACCCAAACAGCAACCTCCAGTGGTAGAAAGCATGCAGACATGCAATACTGATTGGGAAGTGAGTGATACCAGGGATTTAGCATGTTAGTAGTTTCTCCACATTTAAAAAAAAAGTTTTCCACTTTACAGCTGTATTTTGGAAACATTGGAAAAAACATCTTCTGATTTGGCCATCCAACAGCACAGCAATATTCAGGTTTCAGAGTAGCAGCCGTGTTAGTCTGTATCCGCAAAAATAACAGGAGTACTTGTGGCACCTTAGAGACTAACAAATTTATTAGAGCATAAGCTTTCGTGGGCTACAACCCACTTCTTCGGATGCAATGTTAGTCTCTAAGGTGCCACAAGTACTCCTGTTATTATTACAGCAATATTCATTAACTTGTTAGAAAAACAAGTTATGACCTGTGCAGTTATAAATATGGTAATTCGGGTGGGGGCCAAATTGCATCATTTTCTTATCATACCCTGTTTCCCCAAAAATAAGACAGTGTCTTATATTAATTTTTGCTCCCAAAGATGCGCTAGGTCTTATTTTCAGGGGAGGTCTTATTTTTCCTGGAGCTTCGGGGCCTTATATTCCGGGGTGGCCTTATTATCGGGGATGCCTTATATTACAGCGAGAGGCAAAACTGGAAGTAGGTCTTATTTTCGGGGGATGTCTTACTTTCGGGAAAAGACGGTATATATATCCTTGGTGCACACTTGGGTGAGGGTTAGTCTCCTAGTCAAAAGGTGTTCATTTAAAGCAGAGGTCCCCAAGCTGTGGGGCATGCCCCCTAGAGGAGTGTGGTGGAACATTCTGGGGTGTGGGACTGGGACCCAGGCCAGCCCCCATGGGAGGTGGGGAGGGAGAGCCACCAAGCTCCACCCCAGCTCACGGCCCTACACCCGCCCCCAGCTATGGCCCCAGTCTTGGCTCCATTACCCTTGTCCGTGTCCCCCCATCCCAAAGCCGCAGCCCCACTCCCGGCCCCGAGATGGAGGAGGGCGTGGATGGGGGTAAAGGGCGAGTGCAAGGTAAAAATTTTAGGTACCACTGATTTAAAGACTCATCTCTGAAATTACTCAGTTCTCCCCTCAGGACTTTTCAGCTGTCTCAGCACCTTTGTCAGTTATCTCCTAAAAATAATTTACCCCTTTAGAGAAGAATCTGCTTTAAAATTTCCCAAGTGAACAAACCTACCTGTACTATCTGGAGACATACCTTATATCACTGCACCACACCCACCCATGTGACACTTTTCACCTGCCAGTGCAGAACAGTCCCAAGCAAAATTCAGCTTCCACGAAAAAAGTGGGAAAAGGAAACTACTACCTGTGGTAATGCCTGATTTGCTACAGGTTTAGGAATGAGCCTAGATGGCAGTAATACTGGGAGCATTAGTGCAGTGGCACCAGTGGCAGTAATACTGTAAGCACTAGTGCAGACCAGCTACAGGAGTTTTAATCATTGTATAGCCATTGTGTGCTTAGTCATTGTTAATACTGTAAGCTCTTTTGGGGCAGGGACTGTTGTGCACACCCAGCACAATAGGAGCCCTGATCCCTAACTGGGGCCTTTTAGGAGCTACTAGAATACAAATAATAATAAATACCTAACCTGGCTCAGAGCAGATCTACATAATATGGTGATTGACAGTGATGTGTATACTCAAGTGCTCCCACTGATGGAGCTACACTGGGAAATTGTAATGGGGGAGTGAGGGGGTGGGGGAGGGAAGGGAAATGAGCTAGCCTTTTTTCCTCTTCCAAGAAGAGGTGTGTTTTTAACCACAGGATTTGGGGTGGGGACGTGCTGTTAGTTATTTTTGCTGTAAAAACACACACACCTTTTTGGTAGTGCAGATATAGCCCTAGTGTAGATAAGGTGTCTGAGGTAATAAAACAAAGCTTAAATGCATCAAACTCCATGCTTGTTTTCAAGAGATAACATTATATACATAAGCACACACACCCTTTGCCACTGTTAACATTTTGGAAAAATTAACACTTCATAACACTAACTTCTAGAGCTACTAAACAAAAAGTATAAATAAGGTAACTAATGAAAAACTACATTTGTACTTGCTCCTCTATCAGGGGCATACATATCTGTGAGCAACGATCCATTGTAAGGCTACATCAGAATCCTGCTTGAATGAATACAACTATGCCTTCTAATAGAAAACCAGTTAACATAATACAGGCCTGTCACATCTTATGCACATTTAACATGCGCGATTTCAGCTTTACGCGGTCGGCAAAAACAAAACAAAAACAAAAAAAAAAGAGAAAAATAACAATTTTAATACTGTACCTGTAGTGCGGGCGATTCCGCCCGCCATTACACTCAATGTAATTTTGACTATATGCGATTTTCGCTTTACGCGCTGACTGCGGAATGTAACCCCAGCGTAAGATGTGACAGACCTGTAGCTGGAACTAGATACACTATACACATGAATAATTAGAAAACAATATTTTATATTAGTAGTTATCTTACTTGGGAATAGTTGATGGCCAAATAGAAATATGCTCTGCTGCAATATCATTCACAATGTCTTCCTAAGAGGAGAAAGACATTAAAATAGGAGTTACAGAAGCAAATATGCAATTCAAAAAAAGGAAGGATAATGACGACACTGTACTGACCCGAACATTATGAAGCTTAACAAACAGGGATAATATTGTAGTCAAAACCAGTGGTTCCTATGATGGAAGAAGAAGAGAAAAAAACAAGATTACACAATAGCCTATTTTCTCTCTCCTCAACATCAGGGACAGCCAACACATATCAGTGTTATTTCTTCCAGGGCAGGTGTATCCTTTAAGGGGTTTACAAGGACTTTTGCAACAAAGAAAACGGACTCATTAAGTCTTTATACAACTATTTTTACCCCTGGAGATTAATCTAGGATAAGGAATAATGTGAATTTAAATCAGATTAACTATTAGCTCCATGTGTGGATGCTCTTATTCCAGAATAAGAGTGCTTTATTCTCAATTAGCTTAATCCATTTCCAAAATGAATTAAACTAATTCAGAAGAAGAGCATCCAGCACACTGAGCTAATCAGGAATAGCTCCCTGTGTAGACAAGCCCTAAAAGACAGTCCCTTAATAAACTACTCAGGAAGATGTTAAATAAATGGTACTTATTTTAGACCACTGTGCATATTTATTCCCCACTGGCTCTAAAGTGCAATGTGTACTATAATGCTCCACAAATTAAAAAAAAAAGCATTACTTTTTGACTTGTGCATGTGTTTCTTGTGATCCAAACAGTAGCTGTCTGTCTTCCCCTATGGAAGTGTTTAGAATGGGGGAGGGGGGGGGTGCATAAAATACAGTCCACATTAGACTTTAAGGTAATAGGGAAGGAGTCAGTTTGAACGGAAAAGACAGACAATTTCATCTGAATTCCTAATTGTACACAACAAAGTCAGCTATGTCATCTTTAGGTAAATGTTGGTTTTATGGTTATTGTCTATTTATTAAAGTTTATCTACCTCATTCTATGATCGTTAGTTTAATAAGATCTCTGCTATCAGAAGCGAGTGGAATTTTAAGCAAGCTATTCAACAAACCATTGTTTGTATGGCTAGACAGACAAAATTCCCAATTACATCATCTGCCATACAAAAATAATATTTACATAATACTCAACATTTTCTGAAGTAATAGGCAACACGATCCATGAAATATTATACGAAAGGATAGTGTCAATAACAAAGCAATACATGTTAAAGTCTGCAACATAAAACTTACCCGTAACTTTTTGATAAAAGAGAGTAATTCATTCCTAAATAAGAGATACGTGTTACATGTGTAAGGTATCAAACAAAATTCAAAGTGCATAGAAACATTTGTCCATCAGAAATAATACAGTGGTGGTCAACCAAAACAGACTGTTGACCTATTGGAATATTCTTAATTTCAGTTTTGCATATACATAGGGAGCATTAAAGAGGAATGCTTGTCATCGTTCTTCATTTATTCCATTACTGATGTTGGACTATTCCATTTTAAGTGTTACACGAAGAACAATATTTTTAAAATTAATTTGTCCTTTGCTTTTATTTTAGCATAGTCCATTGCTTAATATAATGGGAGCACGAGGAAGCCTTAGGGACTCTTTACTCTAGAGGTGAAATAGTGCACAGCAAGCTGGAGTGTAAATCTATAGCACATAGTGTACCACACACTAACTTCCTATGTGGACCCCGCTGCTGCGCATTAAAGCTCCCTAGTGTATACAGATCAAGTTGGCAAGAGCAAACAGGACAAATGCAGGACGGCAGGACAGAGCTTTAAAAAAAAAAAAAAAAAAAGGACTGTCCCAGCCAAAACTGGACACATGGTCACCCTCGCCATAGAATTTCCCATAAATAATTCCTAGAGCACATCTTTTAGAAAAACATCCAATCTTGATTTAAAAATTGTGAGTGATGAAGAATCCACAACTCTTGGTAAATTGTTTTAAAGGTTAATCTTTAAAGGTTAATCATTGCTATACATTTACATCTTATTTCCAGTCTGAATTTGTCAGCTTCAACTTCCAGCCATTGGATCATGTTATACCTTTGTCAGCTAGACTGAAGAATCCACTATTAAGTATCTGTTGCCCATGTAGGTACTTCCGACTGTAATCAAGTCACCCATTAACCTTCCCTCTGTTAAGCTAAATAGACTGAGTGCCTTAAGTCTATCATTATAATCATTCTAATGGCTCCTCTGAACTCTCTCCAATTTTTCAACTTTTCAGTTTTTCATATAGGGCACATGTGCCTAATGTGACCCTTTCCTAAATACTTTAAGAAGCTGCAGTGGGGATTGCTAACGGACATGGACTTATTACTGAATGGTAATAAGCTGGGGATTTATTGAAAGCTGGGGTCTTTGGGGACCAAGCTGAAGCTCAAGGGGAAAGAAAAAAAAAGTATAAAGGAAGTTTAAAATGAGTATCACTACAAACTACTTAATTTAATTAAGCTAAAGAATTTTGCTCAAGAAATTATTTCTTTAGAGGGGATCTAAAGAGAAAGGGAAGAAGTAAGAAGAGCTCACGTGTGACAACTACTGACCAAGGGGAATGAGAAGGAACTGAGGGTCAGGGCAGCTTTGCCTGTTATACCATCGACTAGCAGCACGAGTGTGCAGAAAGCTCATGCGCTGCCCTGATGAATACCGCTATGCGAAAAAGTTCTCCAGCTCCAGTGTACTGGTGTGCAGACACCTGAAGTGGAATGGACATATACAATCACGTGAAGAAAACTTTTAATGCACAGCAGTAGGGGCCACAAACAGTTACTGTGTGAACTACTCAACTTTTTCATAATTCTACAGGCTGGGATCAAAGCAGTGAGCCAAAGATTAATATGCAAAGATACACTGTAGCTGTTTTTACTGTATATGCAGTTGCCAATACTACTGCTGGACATGGAAATTTCAAACAAGAGATGGAGCCTTTACCATCAAATTCTAAACAGTTTTCATATCAAGACAAGGCTATCACCTTTTATTGTTTGAACTGGAGGAGTCGTAACAGGTTCAATATCTCAGTGTACACCTAGGCCTTGGCTCCCTTTTGCTTCAGAAAATATGTAAGCACAAGAACATAAAAAGCAAGCCTGTATACCCTCTCCTCCAGCCAATCACATAATACTGAAAGACAAAGCAGCCTGGTTTTAGATACATATTAACCAGATCACCACAAGGATGGCTAAAGTATGTCTCAAAGTTTTACTCTTAAACAAAGCCCTGCGAAAGATTTAGTACAGAGCGCTGGCCTGTGAAGACCAGAAATCCAGCATGTAACACATCACTGTAATCTGGGCAGAGGCCTGGAGACAACATTGGCTACAGACAAGCTACAAATGGCTCTCAGTTGGACACAGTGTGGATGCCTCTGGGTTAATCAAATAAAATTAGCAGAGGCTTAGATATTAAAGGTCAAATCTTGGGCCCACTGAAGTCAATAGGAATTTTTTTCATTGACTTCAGTGGAGTCAGGATTTCACCTTAAGTATTCAAAGGCCTTGTCCACTTTTGGGAATAGCCTTGATTTAACAATCAGTGTCACTATATCAATGCCGACCGCTAAGAGTAGGCAAGAGCAGGTGGGATTTGCACTGAATGCTCTTTGGTAAAAACGCCCAGCCTGTTGTAGCTATGTCAGTTGCTGGCCACTGATTGCGGAAACAGGGCAATTCCTGAATGAAGACAAGGCCAAATTTAGAATTCAAAGATTGATTTTATTAAATAATTCGTGGACACATACCTGTACATAATGCCTAATGTAGACTCTCTATGTTTTATTAAACTCACTCTGCCATCATTCCCTCGCTTGTGCTGGTTGGATACACTGCAGATCTGCACAACAACTTCCCAAAGGTCTTTAGCTGTCCGTCTACTTTCTTTGGGGCCTGGAAGTTCTTTGCATGTAGCAGCCAAAAGCTGCCCCAACTAAGCAAAACAAAACAGCAAAAATACAGTGGCTAGAGCTTCTTTGCATATTTACAAGGGATAAAAGGGATTATTGGTCTAAATAGGCTATTTCATACCACAGTAGCAGGGATGACTACTCTTTGTGACACAGGTCATCTAACCAGGAGCTTGAGGCCTGCAACTAATTTTCATAAAAGGGAGCAAACTGCAGACATCTTTATTTTTAATAGAAAGATGCAGCCTAGGGAAACCACAACAGATCCAAGAAAACAATGCTCCATTCTTGATCCAATTAGAATTCAGGTCACACTGCAAAACTAAGGGCTGCATTTATCTATACATTCTAGCAAGCAAAATACGAATATAAAAAAGGTTAAAAATATCAACAGTAACTGCAAAGCAGGCTGAGTGGATCAGAAGAATTTTCACCACTAAAAACAATGTTTGCGTATTTTGCTTTAAGGTAACAATCTGATACATAATCATAATATTGCTACAAAAAACAAATATTTTTGAAAAGCAGAACTCCAAAATGATAGGTGTTTGAATGCCACGGTAATATTTAACATACAGTCAGTAATGAGTTGGAAACTGCAAACCACTGAAGTTCATTAGGAAAATGAAGAGCTCTATGAACACAATACACATACAGCCCAATCTTTAATCCTTTTCACACCTAAACCTCCTACTGAAATAATTCATGTCCCAAATATAATTGAGGCAGGGGACCCATTCACCGCATTGTTTCAATATTCGGTATAGGTAGGTTAACTCATTACTGTTTATGTCCCTCCAGTGCTAGATACTGATGAAACCAGATTGCTGCCAGGTCAGTGGAAAAAGGTGGTGTAAGCCCCATCTCCTGTCTCAGTTACTCTTGTAGCACAGATGGAATCCAGAGACAAATCAACCTTATTTCTAGATATTACTGAATTTCAACCAACAGTGCTTAGTTTTGCTACACAGTACTTGGTTCGTTGGAAGACCTCTTCCCACTCATTACTGCAGTTAGAATTAAACTTGACAGAAACAATGAAGAATGACACATGCCTTCAGAAGTACTAGAACCTTGGGGGGAGGAGGGGGAAGAAAAGAGGCGCAGTATGGCATCTTGCCCCTTTCAGTCTGAACATCCATTACCTTCACATAAGGATTAGTCTGAACCAGAAGTAAAGGAACTTGCATAGTTAAGTATTCATTCTCCCGCCAGTTTAACATGAAGGCAACACATTCCTCTGCTACAACTTGTCGAAGAGGAATATCTAGAAGAGATTTATAAAAAAAATGTTCAGTTCATCAACTAATATTAGGTCATCAATTTTTCCCCCCATGAAACACTATCATTTATAAACATGACAAACAGCTGGGAAGATCTAGAAATAATTTCAGTTAAGACCAGGAGTTGTGTGGCTAGGCCTACACTGTACCAAACATATATTCCCACAATCAAAACATTTCAGCTTCTTATATTTTATAGTAGCAAACATGGTAGATGGATACAGAGGGGGCCTAATTTCTGGAGGAGATGAGTATCAGCAGCTTCCATTAACTTAATCTCGTAGCTGTTCCATGCTTATGAAAAGCAGGACATAGCCTTTAGAAGATTGTAAACAGAAGTTGCAGTATCCTGCTTCCAAAATGGTATTTGTTAAAATACCAATGAACAATCATATATATGAGAGAGAGAGAGAGAGAGAGAGAGAGAGAATGAATATGACTCTCCAGCCTGGTCATTAGGGCACTCTCTTGGAACTTGATTCTCCCTCATCCAAACCCCTGATCCAGTGTTTAATTATTTACATGAAGCAGAACATCTTCAACAGGAGGGACTGAGAGATCCACCCCAGAATCCCCCTATAGCCAGTGGTTATAGCACTCAGCTGGGAGGGAAGAGACCTGGATTCAAACTCCTGCTTCAGAGTAGAGATTCAAATGTCAGTCTCCCACATTGCAGCTGTGTCCTAATCACTGGGCTATTGGGTATATAGAGGACCACCATCTCCTCCATCAAGCGAGCCCTTCACTTCCTTTGCTTTTATTTCAAATAATAATAATAATAATAAGATTTAAAAGTCTGGAAACAAAAATTTATTCAATCCAAAACAATGTGGTTTTTTTGACTTGCCAAAAATTCCAAATGATTTCAGCGAGATAAGATGGGTGAGGAATATCTTTTATTGGACCAACTTCTGTTGGTGAGAGAGACAAGCTTTTGAGCTTACTCAGGTCACCTGATAAAGAGCTATGTAAGCTCAAAAGCTTGTCTCTCTCACCAACTACTACCTCACCCACCTTGTCTCTCTGATATCCTGGGACCAAAATGGCTACAACAAACACAGCATGCAAAAAAATATCAGTTTCAGTTTGGGTCAAACCAATTTTTTCCCCTAAGTTGCCAGAGAACAAAAACCAGTTATTTGCCCAGCTCTATTTAAAAGAAATTGGCAAAGTGCAGTCCATGGACAGCTAGCTCACTTCAAGATGCTAAAACTCACTAAGACAACTAAAAATATATTTAATATTTTACTACTTTTTATTATTGTTCCTGGTTATAACCTAAGTACTGAAGGTCACAGAACCCTGAATTTTCTCGCTTTTGCAAATCTGTTACCACCTTTGCATTTTACTGTATCTTTCCTAAGAGATCAGTCAGCTACATTCTTACCAGGTACCCTCATTTCCAAATATCCTCGGACTCTGCTGATCAAATCAGAAGCAGGACGTTCTCCAGAAACCCCTGCTCCTGCTTCATGAGTGTAAATATCTAAGAGCAGCATCTCATTCAGCATGACCTGGCGCAGCTTTGGAGAAAACTCTGTCACAAGCTCCAGGCAAGCAGCAAAAAGCTGCTTTGCATGGACAAAATCCTGTAATAAAGCACAGCATGTGTGAAAGTGACACCACTACTTTGGTTGAATTACAATAATAAGAAAAGTTGGAATATTGTTTTAACCCATTCTGGATTACTTCAAGCCTTGGCATCTATGTAATGGGAGTTGTGGGTTCTTGCTACCTTTCGGGATCAAGCCCTAATCTTTGAATAAAGTAAGTAAATTTCAGATTGAGCCAACATACCACAGTAAATGTTATCAAATCCTGAAAGACGCAGGAGTTCTATAATCCCAAATTCTTCAAACAAAATAAAAAGTTTCAGAAGAAAAACATACTATAAAAGGAAAAGTCACAAGACTCAACTGGAGTTTTCGAGTTATAAAATGGTTATAGTTTCATCCTATGTATAGTTCATTAACCAGGAACTGTGAGGCAAAGAAACAGGGTTTCACATGCTGAATATTCATTCAAAAGTGTTAGCTAGTTGCAAGAAGTTTTTTCCAAATTTAGATAAGTTAGTGTATTAATCATTAATGTGTCCTAAGCAAAAACTCCACCTTAATGAATTTAGCTCCACAACACTTCAGCGAGTTCAGTATTATACCCATTTTATTGGTGGGGAACTAAGGCACAGAGATGTTAAGTGACAAACCCAGTCTATAGGACAGGGGTGGGCAAACTTTTTGGGTATGGAAATTGCATGGCAGGCCATGAATGCTCACGAAATTAACAATTCAGAGATATTCAAATAAACTTAATTAAATAAAGATAATTTTTAGTGGAAATAAACATAAAACCTTACTTACTATTATAAATATACCATTCTAACAACGTATTACAATAATTAAACCAAACTTACCCCCTTTCCATGCCCTCTTTGATTAATGTGAACAATGCAGCCGTCACTCCCTGGCCAACTACTCTTTATTTTATCCACAACAATGGAAAATTAACACTACTAAAACATCAGAGTCACCTAAGCCAACAAGTAGCAGGCACGTGTGCTTGCAAGCTCCAGGCTGCTGGCATGTGAGGCGCGTTTGGGTTGTGCAGCCGCAGAAACATGCGTGCCCTCATGAACACATGGGAGCACTGGGCAGGCAGAGTGGGGCAAGCCACCGACCTCGCCGGGAGGGTGGAGCGGGGCAAGCCGCCAACCCCACTCCCAGGGACTGGATTAAAAGTCTGAGGGGCCGGACACAGCCCACGGGCTGTAGTTTGCGCACCCTGCTATAGGAAGTTTGTTGCAGAGTTGTAAATAGATTAAATGGCAAAAAAACCCCAACCTTTATTAACACAGAATCAGGGTTGCCCAGTGATAGCTACGTCCTTCCAGAATACTGAATTTAGAAAAACTCAAGCTTCTGAAAACCTGGAAATATCAGATCCTGGCGCGCATGTGTCGGCAGGGACCCCCAGGTCCCAGCTCACATGGGGGGGTAGAGAGAAGGGTCAGACCCCTGAGATAAACAATCCTCATTCCCATCTACTCTCCCACTCCAATCACCCTCCCCCTCCCACTCTGCGTTTGCTTCCTCTGTAGGTTTAAGAAAATAGTTTCAGCACCTTCTGAATATTCTGTTGTAGTCAGATTACATTTCCCCAGGCCCTCCCACTCCCCACCCCCTTTGACAGAGGCAGTTTGGAGCAATTGTGTGCTATTTTTAGTTCAGATTTCTGCCCTGGTTTGGATCTGAACTCAGAGCCTAGTGTGGTGCTCAGACTTGATGACTGTAGCATACCCTCGGAGCAATCCAGACACTGTGATGTGTAAGTAGTTTTCTAAATAGATAGCTTCTCTCTGCACACTTGCTCAGTGTAATGCCTTAGACATGTGAACTTTAGCGTGTGTAACTGGAGAAGCAAACTTTTTCAAACATTTTAATCTGATTTCCCCCAAAGGGTTGACAGGTAACATGCACTGTCAGGGTAACCCTTGGGCTTTCGATGATCTGAGTCCAGCTCTAATCTCTATCTGTGAGCAAAAAACATTGCCAAGATGTGTCAACTTTAAGAAAAGCTGTTTTTTCTCTAGGGACTGTATCTTGGGAACAAACTCCTTGGTCAAGAGGCCCCAAATCTGGATCAGTAACAATAGCCAGTGCCCCCCACGAGGCACACCACATTTTAAGGCAATATGTTTACTCATATGGATTTTAGAGCACTTAGAACAGTCAAGTTTTAAACACAAAGCTGGTCTTAACCTTAACAGCCCTGCTATAATCCTAGATCTCCTGACTCTCAGGTCCTGTACTTCAAACCCTACTCTATGCTTTCACTTGCATGTTACAAAAGAATACACCTCATTTAGTTCATGTTCTTATTAAACCAAGAATACATCTGCTTTTATCAGTATGTACTAGGCTATTCCTACTGCACAGCAGGTTTTTCATAAGCAACTAAAGAATGGCAGAACATAGTCAAGTCTTATTGAAAAACAGGATAGTTTTATGGGAAAATTATCTGTATTATTAAACATCAAGACTATGAACTCTTTATTTATAACAATATTTATATATAGTTTGCTCACCTTAATTGCACTGCAGTGTAACCCCTTTGCCATCAGGATGTAGACCAAATCTCTAGTCAAGTTGTCTTTAATTCCTAGGATAACACTGCCATAAACATTTGGTACTTCCCACTAAGAGATAAATATATAAAATATTTGAACGGGAACAGATTTTTTGAACTGTTAAACCACTGTAAAAACATTAGTGACCAGATTTAGTGAAATACTCAAAGAAAAGAGCAGTTTCTCACATGTTGTTTCCAACTCTTCAACATATACATTTAAAATTCTTATTAACTGGATGTGAATACTATAGTTAAAAACTCTTCAAATGTAAGTTTACAGAGGGTTCATATGCAAATAAAAACACACTAGTTGCTCCACATGACAAGGTACATAAATCCCTTGGTATCCTATTTTGTTGATGCTTTGAATATTTAATAGTCGAAAAGAAAAAAGTCTTTACTCAACTTAAAATGCAAGACAGCTTTTTTGCCAATTACTAGTAAATTACAGTAATTTAAGTCAAAAGAGCAGAATGGTAGCATTTTTTTAGGTATGGATTTTAAAATAAAAAGAGAGTCTTAAGAGACCCAGAGACTGTATTATAGACAGTTACATATTTAAAAACAATTTCTATCTAACTCAAGGAAGCAGCGTAATAAGCATACTAGAGAAAACTGTGCAATAATACTTTACACTTCTATAACTTTTAACAGAAAATATAGAATTCTTAGCTATATCATCATCATCCCCATTATACAGACAGGGAAAGAAACAGAAGTTAGCAAGTTACTTAAGGTGTCACAGAAGGTCAGAATAGAAGAAAAAAAATCAGAATCCAGGAGTCACCACAGTCAATCACATTCCCACAAGGAAAGGAGTTTACTGTATGCAACTACAGTAGAACCTCAGAGTTACAACCACCTCAGGAATGGAGGTTGTTCGTAACTCTGAACAAAATGTAATGGTTGTTCTTTCAAAAGTCTACAACTGAATATTGACTTTATACAGTTTTGAAACTTTACTATGCAGAAGAAAAATGCTGCGTTCCCTTTATTTTATTTTTTAGTAGTTTATGTTTAACACAGTACTGTACTGGCTGCCCCTCCAATCTCTGCTGCTGCCTGATTGTGTACTTCTGGTTCCAAATGGAGATGTGTGGTTGACTGGTCAGTTTGTAACTCAGGTGTTCGTAACTTTGAGGTTCTACTGCACATACTCAGCTATACTATGAGAAATAATTTACCTTGCTAGAAATTGTCCAGAATTGGCGTTCTGAGGTCATGCCATGCAACTCAATTAAAATCTGGCGAATTCTCCAGGGATCCACTGATAATATAAGCTGATGTTCCAGCTGGCCAATATTGACACTTGCTGATGCTAGAACAGAAGATTGCTAGGTTTGTAGATTTTTTATTTATTTATTTATAAGATATACCCATCACATAGTATTTTTGTGAACAAGTAAGATTTAAAAACTAACTAGAGGGTCACACACTTGGTTGCTTATGTAGACCAAGTACACTGCACACAACAGGAGCTTCTTGCACTCCTCCATTCCCCCCAACAAGCTCCCTGAATGTCAACCTTCCACCTCCCTGTATTTCTGGCATTTCCTGCAACCCAACCTACCCATGCCAGGGACTCTGTGTTCCGCATTCACCCTTCCCTCCATAACATGGGCTGTTCGCACCTTCCAGCATACCTCCAATCCCATTTCCCCCCACTTTCGGTCTGAGAGATAAGTCATTATGTGTGTCAGCATTTTTAAATGGTATTGGGAATATGGGTAGAGCCTAGAATGGGTATTGTCATGCTGGAAAATGTTAATGGTTGCCCTCAACTAGTTCTTGATCAACAGACAACTACAGAGGTGGCTGAAACTGCTGGATCTGCAAACCAGATGGCAGGGGCACTGTGTCCTCCCTTTTCCCTTCTCTGCTTTCTAATTTGCACCCCCCCCCCCTCCAAAAAATGAATAGGGTGCTGCCCAGAACATTCCCCAAAACTTTGGAATTGACTGAATGTAGCATTCAAAAGTTAGTGTGTGACTAAGAAATGCCATCAAGTTGAGTGCAAGACCTTGCTTTGCTCAGCCAAAAATCCACTTACCAATGGCAACATAATTCACATCTACTAAACTAACTATAAGTAAGGCTACGATTTTGTCACAGGGGTCACGGAATCCACAACTTCCAAAGACCTCAGTGACTTCAGCCCACGGCTTGGAGCTGCACTGTCTTGCCGCCTCCCATAGGAGCCAGGAGCTGCAGGGTACCTGCGATGGTAGGACCCCCACAGCCTCCAGCCACTGCGGTTGGCAGGGGACCCCGCAGCTCTGAGCCAGAAGTGGAGGGGGACCCCAGCGCTCCCAGCTGGCCCCGTGCTGCCCAGCGGCTTCCCTTTTGTCATGGATACTTTTAGTAAAAAACGTCAGGGACAGGTCACGGGTGATAAAGCGGAAGCCCGTGACCTGTCCCTGACTTTTTTACTAAAAATATCCATGGCAAAATCTTAGCCTTAAGTATAAGCATACCCTTTAAAAATAAACTGTGAAGAAGAGTAGGCCCTGCTGCAGAAAAAGGAACTAGTTCAGCAAGATAAGTCAGAGTTCCATATACAGAAGTCAGATTCAGCTCAAAACAATTTTCACAAATCTGTGGTCCTCCTGGGTTCTAAAATCTACAATTAACAATTCTAGAGCAGAATATTGGGAATTAAGAAAGGGATAGATAATAAGCCAGAAAATATCATATTGCCTCTATATAAATCCATTATGGTATGCTCACATATTGAATACTG